AGGAGCTACCTCAGTCAACAGCATTACAGCAGATCCATGTGCTTATTTAACTTCTCATTCCATGCTGATTTATCGAAGCAACTATGCCACGTGCTGATCGGGTTGAATACACAACACAACGGGCTTGCGCCAAGGCTAGAGCAGCCCTCGCCGCTCTAATCGGACAGCCACGGGCTGTATGCCACCATTGCGACCTTACGGCCCATCGCCTTTGATTGAGAGTGACCATGAGTGGGACGCCACGCAACAGGCACTCTGAGTGACGGCCCGTGGGGTACGGCTTTGGTTCGTGGACATGGGACGCCATAGTCCACACTGAGGGTGACGGAGGGTTTCTCACCCATCTGAGTGACATGAGTTGGCCCCTGAAGTAGTTCGTAGCTCGTAGAGTAGCTCACTACAGACAGACTGCTTCAGACTCTAGGCCCAGGCTCTTTGCATTTCTGCTCTCAGATCTTTGCTCAGGTGCAAAGGCAGTCTCACACGCCCGCAATGAGCAGAGCCCGCTCGCTCAGCGTCTAATAAAAATTGTTGTTGTTGTTGTAGTGGATGTACTAACAGTAGCAGTAGTAGTAGTAGTAGTAGTAGTAGTAGCAGTAGCAGCAGTAGTGGCAGTTGTAGTGGTAGTGGTGGAAGTAGCACAGCAGCAGCAGTAGCAGCAGAAGCCGAAGTCGGCTTTGTCGTCGCCATCGTTGCTGCTGATGCTGCTGCTGCTGCTGCACAGAAAGCTTGAGATGAAAGTGTCAGAGAAAGTCGCCACAAGAAGCGCCACATGTGATAGAGGATCGTAATGAAAATCGCCACCTGCAGATGCAACCAGTGCAAGAGTCGCTAGGAAGCGCCATGAAGCGCCTGCAGTTCCTCTTCCGAAGGTACAAGAGACTCTCAGTTTTCATCGTCTGCTTGCACGGCTGAAGGATTTCTATGATTATGTGGTCCATGGCTGTCCTGAACTGCCGCAACCATGCTGAAGTTCTCAGCTCTGCAGTGGCGGAGGAGCAAACACAGACCGACCGGCCTGAGTCGTTGGGGTTTTCGCAGAATGGTTGGAGGGCTCAGTCGACCTGAAAGACATCAGGTGCTGAGTGGTGATACAGGGCGACTCGCAACTCCTTTGCTGTTCTTGCAGGAACTCACAAAGAAGCCAGCTGTCACCACGCCCTCCCTGATCGTGCCTGATCAGCACACATGTTGGCACAGGGCCGTGGCTGTGCAAAAGCTTGAACCGCAGATCTGCCGGTGGACGCTGGCGTAAGCGGCCTGTGCTTGCCCTGTTAACGCTGCCGAGATCTGCCTGTGGTCCTGTGCCATTCTCGCTGGCCCGGCTGCAGCTTTGCATACAATGCACCTCGGATATTCCAGTAAATTCCAGTTTGCGACTGACTATGTTGCGATATGTAGGCTGTCTTTGGTGAGTGAGTCTGATTTTCCTGACGCAGATTTACGGAATACTTCCTGTGAGGAAGATCCTGCTTTCAGACGACTTCTGGGATCGCGAGCTTAATCAGTCTCTCGTTTGCCATTGGAGCACTAGCCAGCCTGTTGCATGATGCGGAGCTCGAGGAGTCACAAGAGCGCTTTGTACCGAGGCAACACTACACCATGGTCTACTACCTCATGGCTAGTTGGAAGGTTGGAAGGGGGGAGGGAGTTACCAGCACAAGCATTGATAGGACGCGCGATGAAAACTCGTACACGTTTGGGGTCTCTGGCATCTGACATTGTGGCATGTAGCAGCAAGGACCTGAACATCTGCTGTAGATGGGGTCCGGCTGCAGGTCCATGGCCCCAGAAGGGCGTTGCTGGTCATGTCGCTTTGTAACGTAGCGTTTATGGTGATGTGCCAATCCCCGAGCCTCCAAAGACCTCAGAGGCAGAGCTTGGCCTCTCCGTGGAAAGCTTGCTTGGGCACACGGTTTGCCGGCGCTGTTACGAGGACTGGATGGCGCAAAGGTTTACATCTCCAGGGTTGCGAAGCTTTTTCATGGGCGCAGACCTGGGACTGCAGGAGGCAACGGCTTTGTACATGGGTGAACAGCATCGGAGGCTGTCGGACCGCCTGCGGGTGCAGCAAATTCCACACCAGGCCGTGAACATGACATGACATGATGCAGATTGTGAAAGTTAGATTTATGAGCTAGTACTGTATGAGTTCCAGAAGTGGGAGCCAAAAAAGGAAGCGGACGGAAGTAGCGAGAGTTCCGAAAGACTCAGTGTCTTTAAACACCTCAAAAGCAGAGCCCGAGAGCCGCCGCAATCTCGACGCAGAAGCGACGCAAATGAGGCGAATGCCATGGCACCCATCCTGGACGGCTTTGGCGAATCTGGTGTACGGGCTCCTCGGCCGCGGAGAGCCGACAGAAGGCTTCAGTTTCTCCAGTGGCACAAGAAGGGCCGAGCCGAAGCTGTCACTTTATGGCTTTATGGCAAAGGTTGACGTTGCGATCAACAAGCTGAAGTTAGTCATTGAAGTGGAGGCTGCGATGGGCTTCGAATGCCCAAACAAGACAGGCTGTAGCTGATGTGCATTCGTGTGTCCGGCAGAGTCCGGCAGCTGCCCGAACGGTCAGGGAAGCCCTCAAGCAATGGGGCGGGGGGGGCCATTGATTGGAGCTTTACCGAAGTGTTGGGAGGGGCCGCAGCGGAACACCATTCCGTTGGAATTGCTCACAGCCAGGCGCCCAGCGGCCGAGGTATCCGCTTTTTTTCTCTCTTTCCGTCCGGTTCTGGTGGTTTTTCGCTTTCAGTTAAGGAAAAGCTCATCGAGGAGGATCAGCTGCGAAGCTTTTCGTCGGGGGATAGAACCGACGTTCTGGGCCAGGCGTGGGGTTGCTGCGTACTGATGAGTTGCATACGCCGGATGCGTGTACCAGCACATCCTCGATTCCATGGGCACCTGTCGGACTTGGCATAAACAGTGGTGTGGCAGACTCACCACAGCCCCTGGTTGCATCTGGTTGCTGCGCTGGGCTGCTGCCGTTAGTTTCTTTGCCATACACGAAACCATGGCCGGATCCTTGTGAGCGCGGTGGAGTCGAGATCCCTGCGACAGGCCAGAGAGTTTGTAGAGTGCGGCCTTAACGGGCCTGCAGCCTTCAAGCGGCGACTGCTCCGTTTCATGGCTGCGATCTGCGCTAACGAATCTCAGAGTTTCCTGAAAGCTCGGGAATCTACGGCCATTCAAGCTCCGCATGTCGGAGAGGTGTTGAGAGGCTACCAGTGCGGCTAGCGTAGGACGGCTCTTCAGCTCCGCGCTCCTCCCAGCAAGGCCTTTGCGGCTGGAGGGTGGTGACGATCTCTTTCGACGAGAGCACCTTGCGCCAAAAGGGTTGAGGGCCTGAGAAGTCTCAGAGGGACCGAGCCGAGGAGTTGGCTGAGGTAATAGATCCAATGTAGGTGGAGAGGCCTGAATGCTCGGTACATCCGAGGTGAAGAGTACATAGCTGATGCACTCAAGAAAATGATGAAGAAGGGGCAGGGCGACGATCAGGCCTCCGCATCGTTTCGAGTCCAGAGAAGTGAAGGAGAAGAGTCTTTCGGGCCCTCGTTTGTTGTGGCCAAAGATAGCCAAAGCGTGCTTGATGGCTCGGTTGCCTGACAGAACCCGTCTCGCACAGGCGACTCCAGCTCCAGTGTCAGACAGCTTCCCGGAATCGGCTGCTTATGTGGCGTGGCCTCATAGGCTATCACAGTATCAGAGTCACAGTATGACACCCCGAGCTGGGGCAGCAGCCCAGGATTCGATCCAAGATTTCGATCCCATGTCCATCGAGAAGCCTGATCCCAGCAATATCTCTGACTTCGCCACTTGGTTAAAGCGCTTCGCAATGCAGCTTCGTGCAGCACGTGTCTGTCTTATTCATGATAAGAATGATCAAGGGTTGACAAGCAGCACCCAAGAGATGACACTGTCTCACACACGTCGTCTTTTCTCTGAGCCCTGACTCTACCGCGGGCACACATCAGTCGATCGAGCGGGTGCTACAGCTACAAGTAGAGGTTCGCCGTGCTTGTCGCGCCCAGGAGGTGCAATTGCGCGCTCTCCACGCTGATGCTATGGGAAAGCTCCGGATTCAGCTCTTCGAGGATGGGCCGGCAAGTCCTCGTGTTCATGGATTCATGGGTTTCCTGACCTGGGTGACCTCGAGAGGTGCAGCTTCATGCTTCAAATCAGGTTGTGGAAAGTTTCGAAAGACAAGCTGCTTCGCAGTCCAACTTTGAAAGGAGCGAGGGGACGTAGCGTCTGCTGGCAGCTATGCGAACTTCCTGGAGTACCGGCAATGGCAGGCCGAATCCTTTTGCAAATGCTCGGGCAGTGCGAAGCTTCACTGCGACTTCCGCCATCCGTGCAATCTGCCAGAGGGGGGTGCATCGTATGCACCCACGACAGGTCGGCGTCGAGAAGCAGATTCTAGCCGAGCTCGTGGCAAGCATTCAAGCCGAGGCCACGAAGCAGAAGTACTTAGAGGACTTCGCAGATTAGGTCCGGTGTTTGATTCAGGATACGGAGCAGGATGGAGAGACAGACAGAGACACGTTCCACCAGCCGCACAGCCGAGCCGCCGAGCAATCAACGGACACCTCGTCCATGTGCTGTTCTGTATCTGGGCAAGATGTCATGCGCAGGTGCCTGCCTAGCTTCCCCAAGATGAGCCGCTCCAACCAGACGATTTCAATTCTGTGACCGGCGGTTGAAACTTGGTACTGGCGAAACACTGCACCCGGTGAGCACGCACAGGTAGAGCATGTATGACACATTGGCCATCAGCGCGGCCCCATCCAATCGTTAGTGCCAGGTTTGTGTTTCACCCCTCGATGGATAGTTGAATGGCTTGCGCAGAGAAACAGTGACAAGAAGCCAAAGCCAAAGTCGCAGCAGTTGAAGGCACGGGTTGCTATCAGTGCCTCGACACTGCTCGACAGTGCCTTCTCCTGCGCGCTTTCCCCTTCCAGAGACGTGTTGCGTGGTGGGGGCATCACTTGTTAGCGGACCGGGCGAGGCAAGAACGATCGTGGTCAGCTGGGCTTGCCTAGCGCCTCACCCGTCATCGACCTGCGTGGCACCAAGATGAGGTGTTTGAGATGATGGTACAGTACTTATGAAGACTGACGGACGCTGGCCGAACATTCGGCTCGGCTTGCCATCGTCGGTAGGTTTAAGCAATCAATCGCATAAGTCGTTGACTGCTACTTCTACTGTTCCAGATCAGAAAGTCGGGTCTCTGGCTCGGATCGGATAGTCCTTCCGGACAGGGTTGTGAAATCAAACTGTCTACAGCAGGTCTTTAGTCCACAGCTAAGCCAAGCCCACTCCCTCAGTTGGATGAGGCCGTGGAGATTGCAGATTCCAGAGCTACAGGACATGCGCGAACGCCGCAGGGGCCTGAGCTTTCTGGGGCGAGGTTGCGAAGACGCCTTAACGCCACTAAGAGCTGTAGCTGATCCTGGGGCCCGTAGACGGTGTTGAATTAGAGTCTTGGGGAGTAGGACAACATGCCATCGTGTGATGTTGCAGATACAATTTCCTTTCGAATCGGCTCAAGTGCCGATTCAATTCTGGAAGGGCCTCGTCCCTCGTACGCCCCTTGTGGCGCCATCGTGGCAGCATGGGGGAGTGCTATACTTGCGGCGTCTTGGATGCAATACGGGTCGTATCAGGCAGAAGAGACAGCCGTGCTTCCAGTTGGCTGTTGCATCATGCTGCACTCCTGGATCTCTTAAATGGATCTCTTAAGGCTTCGTGAGCAAGCACAGACTTGTGACGACTTGACCGGGTGTTGCAAGGTGAGATCGGTCACATCTCTCGAGACTGCAGGAGCCTCAGGAATTATTTTATGTTCCGCTGCACAGATTCACATTTAGAATGCCCCCCCCACTGCCAGGGTAACAGCTTGGCCTGTCGGCAATAGCTTGTGAAGCCAGGGCGGCAGGATTCCGAGCTGTGACTTAGACATCCGGCTTGTTTCAGCGCATATTCCCATTCTTAAAGAGCTACCTTTAATGGAAAGAGGAGGGTTGTCCTCGTGGCTTTGATGCACTCCCCGGCGATTCCCTGGCCCAGGCCCGCAAAAAGGAAAACCTGGTTTCAAGGCCTGGCCCTCGTCGTTTCTGTGCCTTGAAGCATCCCCTACAGCGACTCCGCTGAGCGTGACAGGAAATTTGTGGAGACTATCGTCGAGGACGATGTGATCGCGGAGATTCCTGTCGCTTCCTCCACGAAGGAGCAGGCGAAAACGTCGAGATGCCTCGAATCCTTTCGGCCCAGTAGCCTTGTGCTGAAGCAGCAACCAGCCGCCGAGTCAAGCGCATGCAAGTGGGACAGGCTCCGGGGGCTCTGGGCGCTACGCTTCTTGGCCTGGCGGGGCGAGTTAGGGCTTGTTTGCGCAAGACAGCAGCGATCTTTGTCCACCTTGTAACAGCGATTGTTGCACACTTCCCTAAGGACTCTGACCGCCGGGGGCGGGATGACCGCGATCGTGGTGATCGCAACTTGGACCACGATCTGTAGGGGCCACTGAATTTCGCAGGCAGCCAGCGGCTGCAAGGCTTCACTTCGGTCGCATGATTGGGTCATTTCATGTTCCCACCGTGTTCCTGTGGAGGAAAGACAACAGGCGTAAAGATACGCCTCGCCTGGGCTACACAAAACGATCTCTTTCCGCCCCTGAGGCGGCCGCCGAGACGATAGAGATCGGAGGCGACGACGTACCCTGGCCTGGAAGCGAAAGGAAGGTCAAGTCCTTCGGGTGCGGAAACTGTTTTAAGAAAAGTTTGGAGCTTGCTCAACAATTGCATTCTGACGGCAAATTTTTAGCACGCGACGATCACACATTTGGAAGCCATTCGCTGACACAGCTTTCGCGTTCTCCGTGCCCACTTCTGGTCAGCCTGTTCGGCAGAATCGTGTCCAGAGGCCCTGTGCTGGCGCTTGTGTACTTGTGAAGCGACAGCATTATGTGTTCCCACGCGGTTCTCAAAGGAGACTCGAGTGATTCCCGATCGCGATCCCGACGCAGACGCTGAGAGAGACGTGAAGACCCGTAGCTAGATGCAGCCATGAAGTTACCCTTATGCCGGTGACAGAATGCCGTGCCCGGATTCTTTTCGCCAATCAGATTGGCGTACGCCTGTCAGACTTTCCAAGAGTGGGCATTTGCTTCGAGACGGCCGGTGCCAAATTGAATGGTCTATGTGCGACAAGAGTGCGCGAGCATCAAAAAGAAGCCTTGCTTTTTCTTACGGGTGCAGTGCAATCGAGCTACGATCAAGTTGCAGCTGAAAACAGACTGCAGCGGGACACAATTGGAGAGGTGTAGGTGTCGAAATGTATCGAAACTAAGAGCCAACACAAACTGCATTTGCGCAAAGAAGAGCGGTCATCGGAGATCGCTCAAAATGGTGTTCCATTCAGTGCAGCCGCTGCGCACCTTAGAATCCGCGGCTTGAATGACGGCCAATTCTGCATCAACTTCACCGAATCTGACAGAGGAAAGACCCTTTTGCTACGAGCTCCTGGCGATGCTTTGGCTACTGCGTGGACTGTGGCAGCACTGCCCCGACATCAGTGGGACGGTGCATGTCCTTTGCGACTGCCAGTCGGTAATGGCGGTGTTGAACAAGCCCTTGGACTCCGACTACAGTGCGGCGGCTGGGGAGGCTGCGGGCCTCTTGAAACGCCTTTGCCAACGTGGTCTTCAGGTTCAGCTCCACTGGGTGCCATCTCACGACAAGCATCCAGAATGGCTGCCACCGGAGGGCATTACGGGACCTGCGGCCAGAGCACTGAACGCCAAGGCCGATGCAACGGCCAATGCATGCCGCGTGCGGCGCAGTACCGGCTCGGCTCGGGAAAGGTGGCATGCGGCGCTTCGTCATGCCACCAATTGGGAGACTTCGGCCATCCTGGCGGTGGCTCGAGCTTCGGAGATGCTTGATGAGCACATTCAAAGAACACGAGACCTCTCGGCTGACCACGCCGCCGTTGCTGACGGCGCTGCTGGGGCTTCTGCTGCGAGCGGAGGCTGGCCTGCTGCTCTGGGGCTCGGCCGCGGCTGCTGGCCTTCGGTTTCCTTCAGCTCCCTCTCTTGAGTGCTGAACCCAACGTCTTTTCCAGCCCCAGGCTGTTTCTAGTTCTGTCCGTAGGCCCTGCTTTTTGCTACCACGGACTGTATAGACTTTGCTGCAATGTCCTGTTGCCTTGGCTTGTTCAGACCGCCTCCTACAGGAATTGCTCATGCTGCGTGTCACGCCGACACTAGACGATCTTCTCTCGGGACCGCTTGCTCGCGCAAGTGGCCCGAGGGAAAGGCACTACGGACTTGACAGAGGAAAGATGAAATTTGGAGATGCGGCCAAGGCTACTGGCAGTCGATGCCAGTAGCAAGTAGGCAGATGAGTAAGTTGCCGAGCTCTTGCTGCTGGCCCCGAACCCGTTGCCGGCTGCAGGGAAGTCTATGCGTGGCCATTCGATGCCAAGCGACATGGTGTGACACTTATGGCCCACACTGCAAGAAGGCTTGGGATTGCACCAGCATGGCACAGTAGCTGCTGCCAATTCAATACAACGGGTAGTTTGAAGGCGTCGCTCGTAGCTGCATCAGTTCTTCTAACTTCTTCCTGGTAGCCCTTTTCAAACGGAGAAGCATCTTCGAGACATCTTGGGGAACCTCGATTGCATCCATGCATCAAATTCTATAGTCATTCCCTTCACCTGCTAGAGAAATAGCCGCGCACGAAGGCCGGCAAGTATGAGCTGCGAACTCTGCAGATCCAGAGCTGGGAGATCGTAGCAACGATATCATTCGAAGTCAGCGTGTGCATGCATGCTCCGACACTACGTTTTGGCAATGCCGGTGTGAAGTGCGCTTCAGCTGAGATCGGAAAAAGGACCCGCGCTGGCGCTCTGGTTTCTGTGACATGTCTAATGGTTCAGCTTGCGATGCGACTTGAGGTGGCCGTAACTACACCCTCACCCAGGCTCTGGGCCTTTTGCCGTGGGGAGAGGGTGAAGCCAGACTGTGCTTGTCCGATAGTGGGTCAACCCTATCTGAATTCATTCTGCAGCGAAGGCCTTCCAAAGCTAATTGCTTGTGCGAGCACCCGCAGGTAGCCACAGGGTGCCAGCCTCATGTGTTCATCACTGTGGCTCCGGGACGCGGAGTACGTCTGTGCAGGTCCTCTCATCCTTTCGCAAGGATGCCGCATAGGAGAAGAAAATCCTTTGGCATGTGTGTACAGTCAAGAGTGTAGTGCTTCACAGCCATTTGCGGCAGAATCGCTGTGGAGCTGATCGCTAGGCTGACCTTGGACTTGCATCCTCTGCTTCCTGATTGTAAGCCTTGCACTCTTCCTTTTTGCATCCTTTTGTGTGATGGTTCCAAGGGTTCACCACTCCATGTGCATCGCCATGCTGGACGACCCGCGAGGGCAGCGCAAAGAGTCCCGTGCTCAGTGGGCTCACGGTTCACGTCGGCTCTGGCTGTCGCTTTAGAGCCGGCCGTCCGTGCTTGCAGAGTGTGCAGCATTGCAGCGTATCATTGCACTGCTGAGTTGCTGCGGCCTTTAATGTTGGCAATGGCAAAAACTCGCACCGCTCAATGCACGAGGAAACCGCGCTTCTGGACTGTACTCTATAGGATAGTTGAAGGACCCAGACCGAGCCAAGAGCAGAAGAAGAGCAGAAGAAGAGCAGAAGAAGAGCAGAAGGGGCCTAGGGCCTGGATCGAAGCTTTTGGTAGAATGGCGGTGATGGCGGGTACAAGCGGAAGCGGCAGACCTCGGAGGCTGGTGCTCCGTGAAGTGACCCCGCTTGGACCTCCTGGACACCATCAGCCTCCCCGTTATGACAAACGAGGCATCGCTGATTGCCTGCTTGATCGCAGGCCGCTTTGGGCCCTCGAGGCAGATGAAGTGCCCTGGAGCGCTCTGGAGACCTGGATCTCAGTGCAACTAGGTGGTCAGATCGAGTCTTAGAATGGATCATCGTTTGCGAGTGTTTCGGGGTGAGACCTGGCGCTGCGTGTCTGTTTCACGGCGCTGAACTGCTAGCCAGTCCTACCGTAGCCGAGGCTCTTGATATATGGGTGGTACTCCTTCTGTGGCCGGTTTGCGGCGTACCTGCTTCCACAAGACCAGTGGCTGCCTAGCTGTTTCGTTCTGAGGGGCGGGGGCAATCAATGGGTACAGCTTCATCTCGGCCATTTCTCTGCAAAGAGTGCAGCTCTTCCCTGTACGGTTACAGCTTGTGTTTGTATGACAGCTGTCCCATCCCTGGCGACTCAGCAATTTTCTAGCAAAAAGGCGGCGAGGCTGCCTCTGAGGTTGAGTCGCCTGTGGTTGGGCCAGATTGGCACCTACGTGCTGACCTGGACATCTCTCAAGCCTTTGTTGAGGCGACCCTGGTGCCAATGACCCAGCCAGAAGTGCATTCGAACGACGTGACCGCGCTGTCCGAAGGCAACTGTCTCCAGACAGCTTCCAGTGTCTTTTGGCTTTTCCGCACGGTTTGTGGCGCTGGGTCTTGTCCGGCTTCTTGGACAGCAGACAGGATGGCCTCGAGACATCCATCCCCCACGCGTAGCTTCCTGCTAGAAGGCTTCGTATCTCAAGCTTGCCCGAGCGATTTCAATCTTTTCAGTGGTCACAACCAGCCCGAGCTTCAGAGCTTTTCCATCATGAACTGTGGCGGCCCGTGGTGGGCTTTCCTAGGCTTCATGACATCTCTAGCCCTCGGCGACTTGGCAGATGGTCGAAGGGAACCCTCCGCCTAGTGCGGCATTTCGGAGAGGTGTCTATACTCCATACACGACTTTATGTGCGTTCACCATGCTGTGCTGTGGTTCCCGAGCCTTTCCAAACAGAGATTGGAAGCCAACAGCCGACCGGGTTGACCGAGGCTTTGTGGTCGCTCCGCTGGGGCGGGGACAGGCCTGTTCCGAGATGCGGTTGCGCTGCTGCAGGCTTGCGGGATGTCGCAGAGCAGAGAGGGTCCCTGAGGTGGCTGCGGGCCCTCTGCTGCCGGAGTTGCTCGGCCGTCTCGGAACACTTCAAAGGTCATGATCCCGCAATATCCCGAAGTAATTTGGGATGTCGTTGAACAACTCCAGGAGGCAGTAGTCCATTCCTACAGTACAGGAGATGAACCCTTTGAACCCGGAGAGATTGATTGCCGGCCAACAGAGGCTGGCTAATGCTGCTCAGCTGGCGGGGGAAGGTGACATGTGGGCAGCGGCTCGGTGCCATTGGTGTCGCACAGATAGGAGGTTTGGAAACTGGGTGTATGGAGGTGGCCAGCCTGATCCTGCTGGTTGGCCTGCTGGCTCCGGCCTTCGAGGAGCCTCTTGCCCCGAAAGCGCGGAAGGACAGCCGCGGACTCCCGCTCTTTGAAGGCGGCGATGCTTCCGACTAAGGCTGTTTTTCCGTGGCTTCTTGCTTCTGGCCTTCTCCAAATCCAACCCAATCTTCTGGAGCAGCTTTCTGCCACCCGGCGATCTGGTCGGCTTGCCTCCCGGATTTGCTGAACAAGCTACTCTGACCTGCGCAAATTCATACTCCTGGCCACCGAGATTTGGTCTATTTCATTGCCATCCGCAGCATCCGCAGCCCCTTCGGCCGCTGGTTCCCAGTGCTGCGATGGGGGCTCTGTTTGCGGTGCCGCTTGGCCTCGACTGTGTGTGGCACTGGATTGCATCGGGTTTGCTGGTGCAATTGACCAGGGCAAGTTGCACATCCTCCTGTCTGTATCAGAGCCAGGACGTTGCGAAGAACCGGCAGCTTGAGACTTGGATGGCAAGTACTGCAGCTGTGTTTGTTCTCTGCTTTGTCCAGCATTCCGCCCGCTTAGGCCGGTTGCCATCTTTCTCCATCAGCTGTGGAATGGCTTACATTTGTTCTTCGTGGCTTGTTTGGCGTCGTGGCACTTCTCCGATCGCGACTTGGAGCACGGGGCAGTAGACTCCAGGCACATACAGCTTCGAGGCGCTGCCAATCCCTAAGCCTAAGTTTTTTCTGCCTCGGCCAAGGCACGATCGAAAAAGCTGCGATCTGCCGCCTGACCTGGACTGTTGTCATCTATCTTTCGTCAATATAACAGCAGTGACCGCCGGCGGTCTGATTTTGCTGAGTCACGTCCAGCCTCCTGTCAAACTCTGGCAGCGCCAGGCTATGTCTAGGCATCTGCTGGAGATCTCGGAGTCCATGCTGAGCGAAGCGTGGGGTGTGATGTTTTCGCAGAGACCTCCGTGAAGAGCAGGCGGTACAAGGACGGCCTAGAAGTCATGAAGGATGATGCGATTGAGTGGCCGCTCCAATCGCCTTTCTGCCGACTGGCGAATGCTGGCGACATCACCTTCAATTGCAAGCCAAGTCAAGCGAGTCGAATGCCACGGATGCCTTCGATACAGCCAAACTGGGTGCCTTTGTGGAGCTTGCGGAGCCTGTTTCGGATGAGATGTCAGAAAACGTCGCCCAACGGCCGCTGGGCATCAGGCTCAGCGTCAGGCTTCGGGCCTGCCTGGCTCATGTTGCAATGTAGTGACACCGTAGTGAGTAAGCCGCGGAGTTTGCAGAAAGGTGTGCGTGCTGCAGTTTACTAGCAGGCTATCCGAGACAAGTTTGCTGGAGTCATGTCGGGTTTACCGTCCTGCAGCTGGTATGTTGGGAGCCCTTTGCATAACACTCTGACCCAGACCCAGGGCTTCCGACGGAAGTGTTGGATTCTCGGTAGTTCCTTTTTCGCCCTGACATCAGTGATTCCTGTTGTGGCCGGACAGGTGCTGGCCCGTCCATCACTGCAGTTATTCTGTCTTGTAATTGTATATCTAAGTCTATATCTATCCATCTATCTGATTGTCTCTACTTGGTATCATCTTTGTCTCTGTAGCTCTCTCTCTCTCTCTCTGTCTCTCTCTCTCTCTATGTCTCTCGTTTGTCCGTCTATCTCGGCCGACAGAGACAGACAGAGACGGACAGCCAGACAGCCAGCCAGATAGACAGACAGACAGACAGACAGACGGATGGATAGAATATTGGACAGAAGGGTAGGAAATTAGATGTATGGGTACCGTACGTAGATGGGTAGACATGTATAAAAATAGATAGCTAGATAGATAGAGAGACAAGTATAGAGAGAGAGAGAGAGAGAGAGAGAGAGAGAGAGTCTGAGACAGTCAGTGCGGTGACTGGGTTCTGAATGTAACCATCCTCTCGTTTTGCAAACCTATAGTTTCGAAATTCTTAGCACCTTGGCCGACCCCGGCCGACATGACCTCTGTCGACGTCACTTCTAGTCAAGCAGGTCGTCGAACTACCCAGCCGTCAGTGGGTTGGGCCTTGTGTTCGATTTTCTGGCTTGGCTTTCGATGATGACAGCTAGGCACGGAGTGATTCTGACTTTGGCTGCGCAGAAGACTCATTGACCTGCAGCTGCAACTGGCCAAAGGAGCCTCCGCTAGTCAAAACACACGATTGAACAGCAATGGCACCAAACCCGCTGGTGTACTTTGAGATTGCGTTTGACAACCAGCCGGTCGGGAAGATTGTCTTCGAGTTGTATGCCCATGCTGTGCCCAAAACAGCAGAGAACTTCCGAGCACTCTGCACTGGTGAAATGGGTAAAGGAAAATCGGGAAAGCGATTGAACTTCCTTGGATGCGTTTTCCACCGCATTATTCCCGGTTTCATGTGTCAAGGCGGCGATTTCACCCGTGGGGATGGCACTGGAGGGGAATCAATCTACGGTGCTAAGTTCAAGGATGAGAACTTCCAGATGAGACACACGGAGAAAGGTCTACTTTCAATGGCCAACTCGGGCCCCAACACAAACGGCTCCCAGTTCTTCATCACCGTGAAAGCAACTCCTCACCTTGACGGCAAGCACGTGGTTTTCGGCAAGGCCCGGGAAGCTCGTCTCCCTTCCATCCGGACGGTCTCTGCTTCACGCACTGCCCAGGTCATCTCAGGCTACGACGTGGTGCAGAGGATGGAGAAATGCGGCACAAGCAGCGGCAAGACCACAAAGAAGGCACGGCGTGCCGGCGGGCCGTATGGGGGCACGGAAGCTACTAGGTCGAGGGGTTGAATCAAGAGAGTCGCAACTTGGCTTCGCACGACTTTTCGATTTTGGAAGCGCTGGCGGTAGCATACTCGGTGGGTCGGGCTTGGAGGGGAGAGCAAGAAAAGGAGAGTAGCATGTGGCCTTGGCTCATGATGTAAACATATCTTTTTGTTGGGTATGCTCGGTGTGGCACTCGGTGTGGCACTTGAGGGGTGGGCACTCCATGGTTTGGTGCGGGATAGCCTGGAGATGGGCAGTGCGAGATGCTCGATCCCCCATAATAGGCGGATTTGTGCGCGGCGCCCACCCCGGGCGAGGAACAGCAGATGTCAGTGCGAGGAGAAGGGGTGCCTCAAAATCCAGCAGCCACACTGCCCGCACCGAC